GGGGGGGGGGAAATGTGGTATTGTTCGCGTTTTGTGGTACACAATCTGGAAACTGCACCGTTTCATTACAAAAACTCACTGTATGTAACATAATTTGCTGAGAAATGTTCTACTGACAACATCGATACCAAACTCTCCATTTACTTTAGTTGCACCAAAAAGCAAATATGTATATCGGCCCCAAGACTCTATAGACAGCACATTCTGACATCCCATTGGTGACAGATTTTGTAAGTTCTTCTAGTTTTGAAATAAGAAAAATAGACCTACTCGTTCTCCTTCAGGTCCGGGAGGTCCTGGCACCCCAGGTATTCCTATAAAGCCCTTAAAATAAATAGAGAGGGTTTCTTTTATTACAAGTTTAAACATACAAACACAGAACAGTCAACTATCTCAGACACTAAAACAACTCTGATTCTTTTAAGAGAGGAGGATCTTGTCAAACTCTAGTGGAAAATATAGAATGGAATATACAAGTCATGCATGAATATGACCTGGAGGTATTTAAAGTCACATCTGCTGGCTGAGCGGGGCTGTTCATGTGTATCATTCTTACAAGACACTTGTTGGAAACAGAATCTTTTTGCCCGGCGATGTCTGCTGTGGTTTCAGAGCTGCCAGGCCCAGAGACCAAAATGAGAGGTTATTCGTCACTTGTAGTAAAACTTCCCCTTGACAAATATGTTACTAAGCTTCTGGATTCACAATAATCCCTCTGACATCACTCCCTCTGTCTGCTTTTGATTGTTGTGTTTGCACACGCACAATTTAGATTTGCCACAACTTGCTTGAGTTTCCGTTTCTGATGTGCGGCTAAGTAATCCCTCAAATTGATAGATTAGTTGTACAGTAAATGCGGCAAGGTGCAATGTTTAATAAAAGTAATCTAGGATTTACTCATTCCGTGAAAGATTACCCAGCACAGTAATGGGTTTTGGGCTTGTAATACGTGAGTAGCCATAGCTAGTTTGGAGCACAGACATTAGAAAAATCTGATCTAGTCCAAAAAAACTTTCCTATGGGATCCAATGGCAAAGATTTCTAAATATAATATATTATCAAGTTGTCGGTGTCCAAAATGAAGGAAGGTGGTGGGTTTAATAGGCAGGCTAGCTGTTCTCCTAAACTAGACACCCTGTATTAAATTAATTGGCAGCCAATGGGAGTCATGTTGTGTCCGTGTCCACCCACTCCTCACCCTCCGAAATACATCATCTTGACTCAAGCACAGAACAGAATGCTTATATTGGATAATGGGAGAAGAGGTCTTTTAGTTCTTAATTTAAGCCTGCTCAGCTGCAACATAATGAAATTAGACCCCCTCTCCCACTTATCCTATTCTGTTTCAGCTGCCTATGCCTGTTAATGCACTGAGCGAACAACCCTGAAGTCAGGAGAACAACAAGTGATCATATGGGGGGAAAAAATGAGGGATCATATTTTTTTCCATTGAGTATGATTAGCCATGGGGTATGTGCAGAGGTTTCTGTGTCTTAGGACACACCATAATTTACCAAGTGCCATGGGCAAGTTCAGGTTTTGACTGTTTTATATTTGTAGATTGGCAAAAAGCAGTCTGATAAACCATTCACTCCAGTGCCTGGCTCCTAACCCAGAGAGGGTTGTGTGAAAGGCTATGAGAGATTACCTGCCATAAATATCCAAAGCAAATGATCCAACTGACCACTGTAACACTCAGGTTAGGATTGGGTTGCTTAGGAGTAGAGGAGGTGATTACACTTTTCCATTTTGATCCTTGCCTCGAATCAAAGAAGGAAGGTCTTATCTGCATGTGTATTGGTTAGGCAGAGTTTGGCTGAGATTATTATTATTATACAGGATTTATATAGCGCCAACAGTTTGCGCAGCGCTTTACAATATAAGGAAGACATTACAATCACAATACAATTCAAGACTAGATGATAAGGAGATGCTCCTATTTTCTGTTTCTGGGTTGGAGATCTGCTCAGAGATGGTTGTAATATACAATAAAATACTTTTTTAATACATATGGACAACTTCAACGTGTTTGGCAGCATCTGAGGCCACTTCATCAGGCATGGTGTGTCCCAATTTCTTGTTAATGCTGCTAGTGTGCTAAAAAGCAGGTCCTGCCTTAGACACCACAAAACGATCCATCAATGAATTCATAAAGTCTTTTGTGATATATTACAACCCCCTTAGAGCATATCTTCAACCCACAACCAGAGAACAGGAATGCCACGGCCACACTCCACCTGACAATACAGTGATTTTTTTTCATTTAACACAGACATCCCCATATATAAAGAGTGTCCGACACCACCACTCAACCCAATCCAAGGGTCACCCCATGGCGTAGACAGCGACCAGCATATAGATCTGCATAGAGACATAGAATAGTGTGAGAACCGGTTGGTGACCACAAAGATGTGAATGCACATTCTTATCTCTGTTGAAAATGTATTTTATAACCCCAACACTGCGGCACTTAGTGCGGTCTCTGCTGTCTCTGTTCCCTCATCTTTATACTTCAGGGACTTTTTTTCTGGAAGATATATTTCAGAAGTTTATACCCCTGCTGATTCAGCACAACAGGAGCCTCCACAGTGACAGGTACACTTAAAGCGGTCAGGTGAATGTACAAATTCTCTTGCAGCAATTCTCACCCAACTTGCCAAATCTTCCTTCAACGCTGACAGCCTCGGTTACACAAAATGCTTGAGGCAGGAAATGTCACTGCTTTCTTCACGTTTTTTATGTACTTCATTCATTGGGAAATATAAACGTGATCGCTTTGTCTTGCAAGCCTGCGCACCTCTTTAATAATGTTTGCCTTTATGTAAATTGCGTGTTGTGGGGAAAGATCGCTGACGCTTGGGAGCCAGTCACCAATCAGGAGCTGCGATCAGTCACACTTTGTTGTACATTCATCACATCATTACAGCTCTACACATCACAAGCCAAAAATGCAGTGACTTACTCTAACCCCTTTAGGGCCTGGGATTCCTTCTGGTCCAGCTAAGCCCTGTGATAAAGAGAGAGAGATGTTAGTTCCCCATTGAGACGCCTCTGTTATCGTCTCCTGCATACAATGCGTGGAGTTTTTGTGTTTTGCCTCTAGTAATGAATTTCTTCACCGCTAACCCGCAAACAGCGTCATCGTTATTTGTGAGTTGACTGAGTTGTGAGTTGTGAGTGAGTGGGCATTAATGTGGCAGATGAGGTTTAATGTCGATAAATGCAAAGTAATGCACTTTGGAATTAAAAATAAACAAATGGGTTATACAATTATGGGTATGCCGCTGGGGAAGTCAGAAATGGAGAAGGATTTGGGGGTCATTGTAGACCACAAACTGAAAGGTAGTTTGCAGTGCCAGGCTGCTGTAAACAAAGCTAGCAGGGTCTTGTCCTGTATTAAAAAGGGGATGTATTGCAGGGACAAGTCTATAATTTTGCCACTTTATAGATCATTGGTTCGACCTCATCTGGAGTACGCGGTCCAGTTCTGGTCACCAGTACTAAGAAAAGATGTCCTTGAGTTGGAAAAAGTCCAGCGAAGGGCAACCAAACTAATTAGGGGTATGGAGGACCAGAGCTACGAGACGAGGCTACTAAATTTAAACATGTTCACATTAGAGGTGAGGAGATTAAGGGGGGATATGATTTCCATGTACAAAATGTTTAATGGTGGTAGCAACATTAGCGATAAACTGTTTAAAATTAACTCCGTTACAAAAACTAGAGGCCATCACCTAAAATTGGTGGAAAAAAAATTCCAGCACAAGGGGCGAAGGGGGTTCTTCACAGTAAGATCAGTTAGGGTCTGGAACTCACTGCCACAGGTGGTGATTTCAGCAAATAATGTGGAATTGTTCAAGAAACTTTTGGACGATTTCTTAAGGGACCGTAATATACAGGGGTACAGGTACTCCTAGAATGAGATCCTAATAGGTTGGACTTGATGGACTAATGTCTTTATTCAACCTCAAATACTATGTAACTATGACTGAAGAGAAAGGCATGCTGCTTTGGTTTATCTAATGTGGAGTAGTTAGGTATCTCACATGTAACAAATTAATAAGAGTTAACGCCGAGCGCCAAGAATGTCCTTTCGCTTAATTGTAATTATTTCATTAGGAAGAATGCAGTATCGTTAACCCATTCAGCGCCTCTAATTAGAAAACATGCAGAGATTGTTTGATAAGAAAGTTGCATTGCTCCAAGCAACAAATTGAGTATTAGTTAAAAACAAAAAAATGACAGCTGGAAACTAATTGGCTGCTGTGGACAACATTATTTCCTCTAGTCCCATTAGGTCAGGGGTAGGCAAACTGTTGCCCTCCAGCTGTGGTGCAACTACAAACCCCATTAGGCACTGCAAGACTCTGACCGCCACGAGCATGACAACCAGAGACAAATGAATGATGGGATGCTTAGTTTCATCAAAGCTGGAGGTCCGGAGTTTGCCTACCCCTGCAATAGGTCCGCCAGGCATACATAACACAGCATTAAAAGTGCATTTTTGGACAGAGTCAATGCACCAGAAATGCAATATTTTTAATGCATCTTAAAGTAGACGTGTCATGACAGAAGTTCACTGCATGCTGATGGTGCAAAGTGTGATAAGTGCTGCACTCTGCTAAAAATCTCTCACACATTGCAGTTCTGGTCTATTTAAAGAGACCCTGTCACACCAACTTAAAAAACTACAGGTGAAAGCACAGAAAAAAACATGTTTTTTAAATGCTTACTTGCAGTGTTTTTCCCTTCCATAAATTATGTGTAATTGACTTACAATGTGTCTTTGGCTTCAAATTTAAAGGAGAACTATGGTGTCAGGGCTTTTCCCCATAGTTCTCTTAGGGTTCTGCCCCTGCCCTTACATCCCTACATACCTTGTATCTGCCAAGGGAGAAGAGAAGGTGAATACTCCATTCACACAGGAACAGTTGTCTGTACGTATTCAGCCGGCCAAATACGTGCGGAGCCCTTCTAAACATAAACAACAATGCACTTTAATGTGCATTGTTCAGGCTTTTGCGGTGGCCGCGCAGTACGAAACCGTTCGGCCCGCAAAATAGTACAAGCGCGATATTATGGCAGATTCTGCACGTTCGTGGCTATATAATAGCTGCAAATCCGTGCAGATAAAAAACATTTGCGTTTTCATCCCACGCAGTCTTCTGCACGGAAAACCGTGTGGGAAATGCAAATAATATATGTGAATGGAGCTTTAGTCTGCTAGGGGCTGTTGATATCATGTCCGACATGGCAGCTCCCAGAAGCTGTCTTTGCCCCCCTCCATCCTTTGTGGTTCTATTCTCCGACCCCTATATCAATCAGGTCACAGTAGTGATGTAGGTGTCAGCAGAAGGAACTAACGAGCACTAGGGGACACAGGAATCTAACACCCCCAGAATTGTTGCATGCTGAAGAATCTGATAGAGGCTTCAATGGAACAAAAATTGGCCTGGCCAAAAGTCACCACCTGGATTTTGGGCAGTGTTATGATCTGGGGTTGCTTTAGTTGGTCAGGTCTAGGTTCAGCAATGTTATGTCCCCCAAAAAATTAGCTGCCTGCCTGAATATACTGAATGACCAGGTTTTTCCATCAATGGATGGCTCATTGGGCATATTCCAAGATGACAATGCCAGGATTCACTGTGCTCAAATTGTGAAAGAGTGGTTCAGGGAGCACGAGACATCATTTTCACACATGGATTGGCCACCACAGAGTGCAGACCTTAACCCCATTGAGAATGTTTGGGATGTGCTGGAGAAGACTTTACGCAGTGATCCGACTCTCCCATCATCATTACAAGATCTTGGTGAGAAATTAATGCAGCTCTGGACAGAAATAAATGTTGTGACATTGCATAAGCTTATAGAAACAAAGCCACAGCGAGTGCGTGCCGTATTCAAAGCTAAAAGCGGAACAACACAAATATTAGAGTGTGTGAGCATTGTTTAAACGCCACAGCCTACCTGAGTATTGTTTCTGACCATGTTCATCCCTTTCTGACTACAGTGTACCCATCTTCTAATGGCTACTTCCAGCAGGATAATGCACTATGTCACAAAGGTTACATAATCTCAAACTGGTTTCTTGAACATGACAATGAGTTTACTGTACTCTAATGGCCTCCACAGTCACCAGATCTCAATCCAATAGAGCACCTTTGGGATGTGGTGGAACGGGAGATTCGCATCATGGATGTGCAGCCGACAAATCTGCAGCAACTGGGTGATGTTATCATGTCAACATGGACCAAATTCTCTGAGGAATGTTTCCAACACCTTGATGAATCTATGCCATGAAGAATTAAAGGAGAACTATGAGGTGAGTGAAAATCACTCATCCTCATAGTTCAAGCCGACGTGTGACAATGAAACTGTCACAGGCCGGCTCTATAGATCGGGAAGTGAGAAAACGCATACCGTCGCTGGCTCACTTCTCTATCATTTTCCTGCAGAGAGCCGTGACTGTCACTCACGGCTCCCTGCAGGGATTTCCCCCCTTCCTGCTCAGATCTTCCAACGCTGACTGGAGGACCAGAATGGGGAGGGGGCTGGCACAGCTGGCCCTGCCTCTAGATAGGCAGAACCACCCTTCATTCACGCAGCTGGGTGGATCTCGACAGTAATGTCGGCATCTGTCCCGGGTGCGGCGGTCTCAGTATACCGCTAGCTGTAGCTTGCGATATACTGAGCTTTGGGTCATGGGAGGACGCTAGTATATGTCCTCACGTGACCCTGAAGAGAACTATGGGGAAAAACACTGACCCCATAGTTCTCTTTTAAGGCAGTTCTGAAGGCAAAAGGGAGGTCCAACCCGGTACCAGCAAGGTGTACCCAATAAAGTGGCCGGTGACTGTATATAGATCTATAAATTCTACCTCTAGCAGTAATTTTTTTCCAGGCAGGTCTGTGGGTCTGTACAGGCTAACTGAACAATGGTTTCATGTGACTAATTGTATCTCAGCCGTCATTTAGCAGACTTGTTGACTGTATATCATTTGGTATAGTCAACAAGTCTGCTAAATAATGACTGAGATACAATTAGTCATATGAAACCATTGTTCAGTTAGCCTGTACAGACCCACAGGCCTGCCTGGAAAAAAGAGCAGTAAAGTGCAATCAATGCAAAATATAAAGAGCAAATATGTCTGGCCTCATATATTGATATAGCTACATAATAATTTACATTAAACGGATCTTGTTTATGTGAATCTGAAGACAGTTAAAATACAATCATTTTCTTTAAATACTCAGCTAATTGTATTGAAAGACAAAAAATGCTGACTGCAACAACCAAATTCCACGCTTCTGGAATAAGTTACAGAAGGAAAATAAACATTTGCAATGGGTAACATCACTGCTTCCTCTGTATACTTCTGTTTAAAAATAAGCAATGCAGTCATTTACACTGACAACGGCTAAGATTAAGCTGAACTCCAGGCACAAAAACTATCTAAAAAAAACATTGTTTCGGACTCTTAAGCTGTTCTGCGTCTGTTAGCATCTATTTCCTTTTCCTTTTTTTGTCTGTCTTTTTTTTTCATTATGCTCGCACACGTGACCGGTTTAGTGCATTGATGTTGGACAGAAAGTCTTCTATTTATATAGATAAGGAGGAGATCACAACAAATGTTTGCTGCAGACATAGGTGGATCCCTATGCCAGAACATTGCAATATGTACAAAGGATATCAATCCACTTTGTGTACAACAAATGGCTTTATAAGCCCAGTTGTTATTTTGTAAAAGTAGCAGTGTTATCATCGCTGTGCTGTACATAGCCTGTGCAGGGAGCAGAGCTGTTGGAGGGGCCCAGTAGGGCGAGAGATCCAGCACCCAGCACCTTTCTTTTATTCAGCAATAAAACCTGAAAGGAGATCTAACTCTTCCCCACTCTATCCAAAGCTAATGATAAACATTTTGGTCTAGTTACACTTTAAGCATTTACTTTTTTTTTTTAAATTCTTTATTTTTTATTTTTGAGCAAACAATTTACAGTAAACATATAACACACATACATTTGATTAAAGGTGCCGTACAGGTATAAACACCAGCATTTACTTTTTTATTGCAAACCATTTTATGTTTTTGGGCTTCTAGCAGTTGTAAATAGGAGAACCTTATTCAAACCTCCTGGATCGCATTCTTCATCTCACAGGAGGAGAACTGAGGTCCCATATCCCCCGAGAGAAAAACAAATGCAACTGAAGAGAGCCAACGATGAATCTGCTAATCATCAAATTAACGCCAGACAGGTTCACGCAATATCAGATTCAGAGGAAAAATTAATTCCAGATAACCAAAGCACACAGAGAGAGAACTGAATGGAGCTACTTTCAGGGAGTTCACATAAGGCTGACAACCGGCCTCTTCTGTTTTCTAAATTAAAAGGGTCAGTCCATCCAAAAGTGATGCTTTATTTGTAGCAGGGTCGAGTTATTGGCCTTAGTCTCCATTCACATATAGCGTTTGCGCTTTCGTGCACAGTTTTCCGTGCCGAAGACTGCATGGCGCGAAAAAGCTAAAATCTTTATGTCTGCACGGATTCCGCTCGTTTGTGGCTATTACTATAGTAGTAGCACCAGTAAGACCAATCGATCCGTGCAGCGTGCATGGCCCTATTGGGCCGTTCCCGGGAAGGACAGGTGCTGCGTGTGATTGTACGCAGCAGCCTGTTCTTCTCTATGGGAGGGCGCGGCCGTACGCTCACCTAAGCTGCAAATGGATGGATGGATCCTGTCTGCGTCCGAGCACAGACACCCGCACGGATGTGCAGTTTGGATGAGCGTATGATGGCGTACGGCCGTATCCTCCCATAGAGAAGGACAGGGGCTGCGTACAATCAAACGCAGCACCTGTCCTTCCCAGGAATGGCTGAATACGGCCGCACACACTGCACGGATCTGTACGGCCGCACTCTACGTTGTGTGAATGAGGCCTACAGGGGTACTTTGCTTGTGTTTACGAGGAGCCTCACCAAAGTCATTGTGACCTATTTAACTTTTTTTGACCATCTCCAATCATGACCCATTAATAAACTGAATCCAACACCTCAGTCACACATGTTGCTGCAATAAAATCTTAGCCTCCATTCACATATAGCGTTTGCATTACCCGCGCGTCACAAAAACGCTAAAATCTCACAAATGAGTGCTGGCCGAGGATCAGATGAATGAGAACACCTTCCTAGCAACCAATTAGTTTCCAAATGTGATTTCTGAGTTTCGGAGTTGATAGGGAACATGAACCCTGACCGGTTAGAAATAATGTTTTTTGTTACCGTATTATTCATACACTAGGACAGTGGCAGGCAAACTCTGGCCCTCCAACAATGGTGAAACTATAAATCCTATCATGCATCCACCTCTGGAAGTCATGCCTGTGGCCAGGGCCATCCCTACCTTTTTCACTGCCTGCGGTGTCCAGGAGAAGGCCGGCTGCCTCATTATGGGGACACCCCTGCCTGTGGCTGTCAGAGTCTTGTAGTGCCTAATCAGATTTGTAGCTGCACCACAGCTGGAGGGCCAGAGTTCACCTACCCCTGACCTAGAAGGTTATCTTATCCCCTTTATGGCCAGAACAAATGATCTCATTTGGCAGAGTGTAGATTGGACTGTGGGAACGTTTCTTTGCACACTCTGTGTGGCCCGTTGATCACTTGTCAGCCAATAACAGTTAAGCACAGTTACTGCACCTGCCTGCCAGGGTAACCCGGTGCCCCTGCATGGCCATCTATGCCAGGAAGTCCCTGAAAAAAAAACAAAAAACAAAATTAAAGATAGGGAGCAACAATAAATATACTTTGTTTTATAGCTCTGGTGTAGACAAATAATAAAAACACTTCCATAAATATCAAACGTTTTTACGATCCATCACTGGATCTCTGTGCAACACAGGCAGATCATGGCTGGTGGAAAGGGCCGCAGGGTGTTGTACATAGCTTCCTGAAAACATCACAGCACCCCTCCTCAGTACTCCTCTAAAGAGCCCTCAACCCTGATGCAAGCAATGAACAAGGAGTTATGCTGAGGGGCGGGCTTCCGATGACCGCAATGCCGAACGGGCAGTGTGTGCTTGCGCACACCGGCCCGTCCGGCTTTTATCTTACGAACATGCTACGCACCCGCCGAACATCGTACGATGCTCGGCGGGTTTTTGAACATGTTCGTAAGTTTAAAGTCGTGCGACCTTACAGTAGTACAGGTCGCACGGCTTCCACACACCTTACGATAATCGCACGATCGCGGGATTTCCCACGATTATCGTACGATTATCGTAAGGTGTGTGGGCACCCTTATCCAAATACCTTGATGGGTGGATGTCAGTCTGGGGGGGTGGGTGTTCCTAGGCAGGTCGCATTTGAATGAAGGCCATCCTAGTTAAAGCACACATGTGATACTGAGCCTCCATGATTCATCCTCTCATTTCCTGTTTTGGGTATGGGACAGGAAGTAAAAGAAAACTCCCCATGGGAAATGGATTTTAAAAAAAAAGTTGACACGGTTTATAACGCTCCCTTACTTTATCTAAAACTTAAAACATGCTTCGGCTTTAGTTCTACTTTGAGGCCTGTGTCAAAGGCCTTTTGTTCACTTTAAAAAGGTTTTGCGTTCCCTTACAAATCTTTGGCAATGCAATGTTGCAAAAGCTGCTTGAAGCAGGTCGGAAGGAGGTCAACTGCATCCATCAATACATTCTTAATGCTCTTAGAAATGTCTCAAACTGGTAGCCCAAAACCTATTGACACAAGCCTTTAATTAATTGACTGTCCTCCTTCTCTACTTGCAGCGGGCACCTTCTTCCAAAATCTAGGTCACTTACAGCTTGCAGGTGAAACCTGTTATGACAACTGACTAATTGGATACACTGTTCCACAAGCACAGAACTGTGTTTGTGCATTCAAAAATTGCAGCCCACCTGAGAGCCCGCACAGCCCATCTGAGAGCCTGCAGAGATCATTCCCATGGGTATGATGTCCCAAACAGTGTGAAGGGATGGTTTTTGATGTGCCTGGAGCTGCAGGAAGAAGCATGTGGGTAGCCTATGTGAGTCTATGGAGGCACAGGAGCTGTGCGCCCTTACGCTGCAGCTCTGAGTTTTGATAGTTGCACACAGTGTACTTGGACGCAAATATGATGGATGCAGGTCCCTACATTGTCTGTGCATGGCTGTCAAACCTCAGACCACACAGCTCCTGGGTCTCCATACTTACATGAGCTTCCCGCACGCTCCTTCCCAGAGCTCCTGGCACTAGAGTTGACACCCATCAGGTTTTTCACTCGGACAGTCCAGTTTTGGAGTCTAGTGTTTGGGTGTACAGCCAGAGGACACCCAGACACAAGACACTCAATGCCAACACCGGTGCTTTAAATTGTCTGACAGATGTCGCTGCCAAGATCACACCAAGCGCGATCTTGGGAAGCCGCATCTGCCTGCAACCTGAATGTTCTTCTGAGCTGTGGGCAGCTTTCACCTGTTAAAGGTGCCCGCAGCTCAGAGGAAGATCCGGTTTCAGGCAGATGCCGTTAACACTAGACCACGCTTGCAGGGGAGCTTGGCAGCTGTCATTGCCTTCTCCTCCTCATCCTCCGTCTCCCCAACACTGTGTTGCCCGCCTGCGGACCCCTGGTGAGACACCAGAGCCCAGGCAGCCCACCTGAAAGTGCACCCAGCCCACCTGAGTACGTGGCTAGCCCACCTGAGAGCCGCACAGCCCATCTGAGAGCCCGCACAGGCCACCTGGAGACCTCAGGGTACGTAACTTCATATTATTTTGTATTGCTGTATAATGTATTGCTGGAATTTGTACTCCTCTATAGACGGTCTCCTTGCCCCCTCCCCTGGCTGTTTCTTCTTGTTCTTTCTCCTGGCTGCCCCTCGATCTTTCCACTATTTTATCCACACAAAAAACAAAATTCAGTGTTCGGGTTTTACTTGAAGAAAAGGTGGCAACCCTACTTGGCACAACAACGGGCCCTTCAAGCTGTACAGAGCAATATGTGTGAATAAGACCTTAGACAGGCCATTGTATGCTGTGATTTTATCCAACAATAGGCGCAGTTTAGTGTCAGGGTAAAAACTTGGACATGAATTGGCTGTAACTAGTGAATTATGAAATCTGTCTGTGCTAGGTCTCTATCCACTTAATGATATCTGACTTATCTTCATAGAAAAAGGAAACAATCAATTCAAAGCAGAACAAAAAAAACTGTCCGCGTGCACAAGGATCAAGTATGCAGCGATGATGATCTGCTGTCAACAGACAAGATGGCTGCGGAAACTCCCTCAGGGCCTGTTCACACCATATGCGTTCAGGCTGTGCTGGCAATTTTTTTCCAGCACAGTCTGAACACAAGACAAGGCAATTTGCCTTGTCACGAGCAGGCACAGTTCACACCCCTGCATTGTGGAGGTGTGCTCTTAAAAAGAGTAAAGCATTCAGTACTTTTTTAAGCGCACTGCAGTGAGACGCGGTACAACCACATTGCACAGCAGTGTGCAGATAAAACTTAATGAAATGTCACTTGTTCTAGCAAAAAAAATTAAGAAACAGTGCAATGCGCCTCTATTGAGCGCATTGTCACTATCTGTGCACACGCACGTGTGGTTTACCGCAGCTGCTGGTGTGAACAAGCCCTTAATCTGATCGTAACTGCCAGACAAGCATAGTCTACAAGTCACATAAACCTCAGGAGAGAAGCAATGCTAAAAATAACTAAGCATATGTCATCTTTAAATATATAACAATAAGGAAAAGCATAAATTAAACATTTCTCATTGACATGTAGCCAATCTTTTTTTTCCCCTCCTATTTTGCACCATATTAGTGTACTTTTGCACTATATTAGTTCATAAACTACCCAGGAATACTGAGCAATTTTGCACATAAAACCTTTAATCTCTGCCCTTTCTTTCTCTGTGCTTTTAGAGCCCTCATCATAGGCCTGCTCAGTGTCAGCATTGCACAGTTTGCATGTAGCCTGTCAGCATCTGCACTGTAACGGAAGAGAAGGAGTAAGGACAATTAAGGAATCTGATGTGCATGCCAGTTTGATTCAGTGACTTAACTTCCAGGACCATTTAATGATTATTTTTATGATGCAATGCACTGATGTAATGACTGGATAGCACAAACTGCTAGAAGCATTAACCTATGTACGAGCAGGCAGCTAGGTTTAGCTCAGTCCTGGCCACCCCCCAGTTGCATGTGATTTCAGGCAGCTAGTTGTAGAAAGCAGAATGCAAATCTACGGAGGGGGTGTCACTGATGCCTTCCTTGATCTAATTCCTGGTCTTCAGAAAGGCTTTTTACACTGTAGCTAAACTCACATAGGGAAGTGCCTGCTATTAAAAGTTTGTCATTTCTACTAGTTACATTGCAACATATAAATCATCATTGAGTGAGTGAAGCCTGATCTCCTTCATTGTCTGCAGTTATAATGCGGACACAGACAAGCACAATGCAAATAAAGCAATACTGGCAGGAAAAAGAAATAGTCAGAAATGATGAGGTTGCTATATTTGATCGCCATCAATGGATATATTGTACAATAAAAGTGAGAATGTGTTTTGATAGTATAGTTTTCCTTTAAACATTAGAACACTGCAGATTTTAGCACATTTTGCTAAGGCCCGGTGTTCTTCACATGCCCAGGGTGCTTTTTACAGGACTGCTTCCCAGCAATGCCCAGTTGACATTACTTTCAACAACATTTAGGTATGATAAATCTTCCCTCTCATACATGAACACCAGGGAGGAAACATATGTAACGTTATAAATCTGGCAGCATGGTGCTGTGTATAATGTTCTGTTAGACTTGGCATCTCTTTGACTTCCAAAGAACCCTGCCAAGCCACAGCTAATGTGGTTGATTTAATAAGTGAACAGCAGACATGTAAATGGAAAATGAAACACCAAAGCGACAAGCTACTGTTACACAGGATCTCCGGTGAAATGTGCAGGCAATAGGGACGGCTGTATTTTTCTATTAAGTGCTGCCATGTTTACTGGGAGACGCACACAAATACAGGAGCCTAATGTAAACACGCAATGTTAACTGGCAGAACGGCAGAAATGATGCAAAATCAGCAAATATGTTAAGGGGTTTGGGTAATGTAAGTGATGCAAGCAACCGCTCACTGAATGATGTTTTCAAGAATAATAATATACTTTTCCAGCTTATTCTAATGGTTTGTGAATCGTTCCCAGTGTGTATACCAGCACTTTGTGTGTTCAAGTTAACAAGCTCAATCAACCTTTTGCACTTAAACAGGACCAGAGATGTACTCATAATAGGGAAAGTTACAGGTTCTCTCTATAGGAGGTACAACAAACATTATGTGCTGGGTGGACCGGGGGAACTGGGGAAGGTAAATACAGGGTGGTTATTGTGGCTGCTAGAAAGCAAATGTGTTACTTTGCCTAGTATGGATATAGGAAAGGTTCACTTAAAAGGGACTGCATTTGCTCCTCAAGTAACTTAAAGCCCAATTCCATTTTGCAATCCCCCTTGCACAATACATGCTGCTACAAAGGGGGTGCAAAGTAACCCTATAGCTTTACCCTGCATTTACAAAGAAAAGAGTCCCTTTAAAATTGGACTTGAGGCAGCTATAAATGAGACAAATGAATACAGCTCTCTGATCTGATGCATTGTGCCCCGATTATCAGGAAGTTGGGCGGCTGATCATGACCCGTCTCACCGGCTTCCTGATTGCCTGTGAAGCCGGTGTTCTAGCGAAAGATTGGTTAGGAAGCTAGGCTGCTTAGCCACACGTGAAGCCGGCTTCCTAGCCAATCAGGAAGCCAGGAGGCGAGTCATAGCCCACCGCCTGGCTTCCTGATTGGAAAGGAAGCCGGCTCCATGCTCCCTCAGCACTGCCAATCAGAGGGGGATCTCCCTCTGACCGGAAGTTCCGGTATCAGTGGTAAGTATCGGAGCATTTGGGCCAGTACGAGTACTCGCCCAAATACTCGCTATCGGTACCAATACCGATACTAGTATCGGTGCATCCCTACTAATAACCATAGCCATCTAGAAGTTTGTAAACTTTGAAGATGCCCATAGGATGGACTTCCTCTATGCACTGAAACAATTTTACTCAGCCCTGTGAATATGCACTTCATTGTGTCACCAGATTAATTAAGCCTGCAATGTGAAATACAACTCAACATCTGAAAAATTTTACATCATTGTTACTTGCTAGAAGCAATGCATGATGGGATATGTAGTCTTGAGAAATTGAGATTACATCACACCAAGCAGCAGGGAAAGAGACACAAAGCACACTGGGAATCCAAGAAGCTGGTAAAAATGATGGGCAGATGGAAGGCAGCACTTGCTTCAAAAAAAGGGATTTTTTTTTCAATAAGCTTTGATTGCATTATCAAAAACAACTCTAGCATGTATTCCTATTACAATGCTGATATTATAACAGGAGAGGATATGCTGTGTCTTTAGAACTCCTTTAATAAATTATAAAATGTCTTTTTTTTATGTGCAAGCAGTGTAAGTACCTGAGTTTGACCTAGTATCAGCCTGTTGTAGTCCCTGTGCAGCAGGGCTGGAGTGTGAGAAGAAGCAGCACATGGTGACAATTAGTTCATGTGCTGACAAGAAGCTTGCTGATCTGAGTGCCCATTCACACTGAGCGTTAAATCCTGCAATTTCCGCCGTGATACCGTGCATATCGCGCCGCGCAGAAATCTGCTCGAGGTGAGTGTCGCTCAGTGTGAATGGGGCCTGAGGAGACAGCAGTGACAAAGAAATTAGATCATCACTGTGCTGCTTCTCCTTTCAGTGTCCAGTCACAGTCTGAGGGCGTAGGTTGAATAATGCTGGCCATCAGACTGAGGACATCTAGTGGCAGAAACAAGTAATGGGAGTAAATTTCTGGACTGAAGCTCAATATTAAATCAACAGCTAGCTCTGTTATTTTATGGGTAAATCACCCAACCCAACAGCCATTTGAAGCCCTACTCACATACAATAGTCAAGGAAATTATGCATACACTTGATAAGTCCTGCTGACCTAAATCTCCAGAAGGACCTTTGACACTAAGTTTAGGTGGAAACATCAATCACTTTAAAATCATTTATATGTAATAAATACCGCAGTGCAATGTACCCATCAGTGCACTCATTAAAATAAACTTGATTTAAAGTGTTTAGCCATTAAACATTGTTTCCTGTAAATGTAAGAAAGTGGGCTAAGCACAAGGACACAAATCTGGATTAGCACAAGGACACAAATCTCCCAGCATACATCTGGAAGGCAGTGAGTTACCCAAGCTGCCTGTAACCAGGAAGTGCTGGGAGTTTTTTTTTTTAGCCTAACTCATATCTCATATAAGAGTATATCCAGGTCCCACAGGGTTCCCTTTACATCATTCCAATTACAAATAATAGTTTGTATTTTTTTCCGGTAGCCTAAAATCGTAGGTTTTTCCGGTAGCCTAAAATAAAGTAGAGGTCACATGATCTGACTACCCCTTACAGTCTCTCTCTCGTAGCTCAGGTCGGTGTGACAAGTTAAGCAGTACACATACCTGATATTGTGATGACTTGGGTGTGCTGTTCTTAGACTACAGCAAAGCTCTGGGAGTGCACACCCAACCTGTGGGCCTAGCAAGGGGTGTCTTTTTGCTAAATTTTGAGCAGATTCAGCCAAGAGCTTGGTGATGTACCTTACGTATTTCAGAGGACTACAGGTGGTGGGTTCCTAACATCCAGAAGAACTAGGCAGTGGTTGGACATCATTCAACCCAAAAAGAAGGCAGAGACATGGGAAAGAATGGGACTATTTAAACTGATAAGTGCAAAGACTAAGTTAGGTATGGAACAAAATACATATTTTTAGTAATCAGAGCGACAAGTGGGATTAACTGGTTAATAAATCACTGAGGCTGGAGTTGGCCTTAATATTTATTATACTCAATGTTAGGTTTTTACTCATAAGTCTTTTGAAATTTTGGCTATATGTTGGGGACACCCATGGGACCATAGGTCATCTTTAATAGACAGTATGGCAGGTCTTATGATTCATATCTTCCCATAGGACTGCTGGTCAGATTTGTAACCCAGAATATTAACAAGCACCTTGGTGCTAATTTATTTTATCAACACAGAAATGAGACAGACCACTCCAGGCTATGAACAGCTGCTTGCCAAATCATTTTATTAACGTCTGCCTTGATACTAATTTAAACACACCTCGACTTGTTATAGCACATACTGGAAGACGTTGCTAAAAGCAATTTTAATAAAAACAAAACATATATTGATGTTCAGTGATAATTAACACTAAAAAAAAAACTTGGAATAGTGAAGCATCGGATATGATTTTCAGGAAAGAATATTGTTAGGGGTATGGAGACACCCACCCTAGTCCAGACAGATTTTATTTCTCATGTAAAAAGAGGCAATTTCTGCCAGAAATAATGAAGCTTAAAGTGGAATTCTAAGTTAAAACAAAACAAAAAAAAAGACGTTTTATGCTATTATAACTATTGCAATTCAGCTATAAGCAAATTACCCTCTCCAACAACATAAAAGACTTTAGAAAAAAATGTTTTTCCAGACCATCAAAGAGACTCTGTCACTTTGCCTGTTACGGGCAACATGACAGGTTTTCCGTTAGAAGACCCATATACTCATAGTTACCTTCCCTGTACTCCTTTGCTGTACTGTTTGTTCATCGGTGTTCTGCTTCCTAGCATTGTGTAAACTACACATTGAATTTGAAAGTGGCATGTTCCCTTGTTAAAAGACCCAAAGGTTCTCCTGTTAGAAAACCCACGTGCCCATACTTACCTTCTCTGGACTCTTCCCCCATACTGTTGCTTCATCGGAGTTCTGCATCCTAATATTGTGTAAGCTACAAATCGGAGGCGAAAGTGGCATGTTCCCTTGTTAAAAGACCCAAAGGTTCCCTTGTTAGAAAACCCATGTGCCCATACTTACCTTCCTTGTGAAGGCAGTACTGCTTTCGCCTACCAGACCTACTAGGTCTCATCGAAGCAGGGCTGGGGGTTCCGGTCAGCATGTAAAGTATCACAGAAGTCACTTCATTGTTGGACAAAGCATTGGTAGGAAGATTTGTGCATGGTTTGGTTTAAGGTTCATCAAAGATTTGGAGCCTTAGAGGATACAGATACTGGTAACTTTAGAGCAGGGGTGTCAAACTCAATTTAATCGTGGGCGGCATCAACATTATGGTTGCCCTCAAAGGTAGCTAGTACAGCAAGATTAATGCCAGGGTGATAACTGGACCCATTCGGCAGCTAAGGTGTCCTAAGGCACCTAAGGGTTAGTTTAAATATAAAATGAACATGTTTAACTGGTGTTTATGTGAAACTTCATTTTGGTGAACGTTTGCTTCAAAAGCCTAATTTGCATACCCAAATCTTGCGTCATCTGCTTGACGTTTCTTAACAAATAATGAAACATATAGAAATATAGTTAATATTCTCAAAACTATACCTGAGCAAATCATAGAGGACAAAAATAAAGCCTACCTTCTCTCCCGGTGGGCCTGGTGGTCCAGGATAACCTTTAGAGCCCTGTGGAACAAAAGCATTGTTTAAGATTTTTCACAAGAGGAAATCATTTCTTAGGACCAAAAAAATAAAAAAAAGCATTACATAGTAAAGTAGATCTAAACTTTGGATTAAGTGTGCTCAAGCACTGTGAGGGGAATTTATAAAAACTGCAGCAGACAAAAACTGGAGCAGATGTGCATGGCAACCAATCAGCTTCTCTCTTCAGTCTGTTCAGTTAAGATTTGAAAATGAAAGAGAGAAGCTGATTGGTTGCCATGCACATCTGCTCCAGTTTTTGTCTGCTCCAGTTTTTATAAATTCCCCCCTGTGTATCATACAATGGTGGATCATGCTTGCACAATGTGGGTCAGCGTGGCCCCTTGTAGACACCACCAGGGGAGCATCTGATTGGGTGACAATGCAGCAGCACACTTGGCAGACAGTTGTCACCCCATAACAGGAAGTTATGCTACGTTTAGCTACCATACGCTTGCTTTTCCAGTAAAGGCTGTACTTTCCAAGGCCTCTGAGTTATAAATAGCGATTGTACATACAAACAGACAAGCATTTTGACTTTGAAGATGTATATAACCTGCTCCTGGTTATTCTTTGAAGGTCATGTTGGGTTATCATCAGCCTGAGTTATGAAATTTTCCATGTCTGAAGACATGTGATGCCCTAAAGAATACCAGATATGAAAATGCCCCTCAAGTGTTCAGAAGGCAACCATATTGCTCAGAAACGGGTTATATATCAATACAAAATAGGAATAAGTTACAAATGCTGAGAATTGTCTTGTTAAGGAAAGATGGCATAAAAAGCATCTGGTCCATGATTTACAGCGCTCTCTCTCTCTCTAGAAATTCGTATAGTGCGTCAGTACAAACACGTGGAACAAGATAAGAGGAAACAGACACTTGAACATGTTTTTTCTTTTTTAGTTATCAAAAAGGATTTTAAGGGTACCAGGAAAATAACATATTTACACCATTAATTAGAGGATTCTTGCTTATGGTGGAATGACAATAGTATAACTTGAAGTCCCTGGAATAACTAGTAGTATAGTATAACTGGAAGCAGTACCCATCCACTAAAGGCAGGCGTGACTTTAGAGGGCAGCTAAATATCATATATTCTTCATGGTAATGTATTAGAAGGATAGACCAAAATATTGGTCTTATCGGGAAGGTGGAAGAATATGCAAACATGTTCACTAGAAGTACTAGAACCCAGGGGCATCCTGAGGCCAGGTGTCACCTGGAGCGGATACCGGGTGACAACCCGTCGTGACATAATCGTGCATGCGGATGACGTCACCATGCGCATGCACGTTAATGTGCATGCACTGCCATCTTATTGATACCTGCCGGCGGCCATCTTGGTGATGGACTCTGGCAGAGAGAGGAGGGGATGTTCACCCGGTGTGATAACGTATGCCGACGGGTTCCCTCCTCTCTCCTGAAACTGTCGGGCTCTCGGTCCATGAATGAGTGCCCGACTTTTCAGAGGTGGTTACACCAAAATGACCCTCCAATAGTGCCACCCAGGTGCGGGACGCACCCCCCTTGTGACACCACTGCTAGATCCTTGATGGGCTCAGAGTGTTTTTTCCTTTCCAGACCAAGTGCTACTTTACATGGTATAACAGCAGGCTGGCATCAAGACAAATTTAGATACTTATGACAGTCACATAAAATCGGATAACATTTGTTTTAAAGTGGACCTTTGCACTAAAAAATCAAATTCTACCAATGCATCCCTCTATGTATGATGATTAATAATAATAACAGACATGTCAGGTGTAAAATGCTGTGATTGTGAAATACTTACACTTGCAGAGCATTTACTTCCTGCTTTGAAAGTGCAAGTCACTTGCCAAAGCAATGCACACTGGGATTGCCTTGTCATCAGCAGAGCAATGCTGAGAAATCTCATCTGTATGAGATCTCAGGGAAAGGCATTTTCCTCCCCTGAGATAATGTGCAAGGTCACATGTCTAGTCACATGTGCCAGAAATCGAGGAAGTAAAAGCAGAGCTAGTAAACTGCCCTTAGTAAACAGGGCCACTGTCAGAAGACTGGGGTAGAAAAGATAAATAAGCTATGCAAAGGATACAAAGCCGGCAATTATCTAGAGGTATGTGTTTGTAGATTGCCATAACCAAACATTTCTGAAGGTGTGTGTGTTGTTATTTTTAAAGATATGTGTAAAGGTCAGCGTTAACAGATTCCTGATGCTATCTTCCTCTATTGTTTAAAAGGGGAACTCCATGTCTACACAATTATGCACAATTGCAATGGTCTAGCTTGGCCCAATGTAAGTATGCACATGCCAAGACTGATCGTCCCACAGGGATTCTCTAAAGCATTGTGGTAGCCAGAGCGACTACAGCGTTGACAGCAACCTTCTGGGTTCGGGTCCTGGTAGTGTACTGTGCTGAGCGGTTTCTCATCTGCTCTGAAAGCAAAGGGGGGGTCACCCGCTCAATATTCAGAGAATGTCTAGTACCTTTATCAATGAATACAAGGTGTTCTGATTGGTGTCTGAATGTATGAGGGGCTATGATGTCATGATCAGAGAATGCCTTGTATGGCCAATCAGGTATGGATAGACCAATGTAATTATGCATAATTTATACCTGGAGTTCAGCTTTAACAACCAAATAGAAATACTTGAAAAGTCAATATTTTGCATATATTCTCTATACATTCCAAAGATATTCTAGTGTTTACAACACTTTAAAAATGTAATTCCAAAAGCGGCAATTTCCGAGCATAAGTTATTATGCAAATAGCTGTTAGAAGTTATAAAAGTAACTGCAAGCCAAGAACTGTTTCTCACTATTTTCCTCAGGCTTGACGCTATCTTTCCCTATTGCTTATTACTAAAAGTTCTAAATAAAACCGTTCTTTTGTGACTGGAAATACTTATTTACAGCTGACGTGTGGGAATAGTAGAAGGTTTTTTTTTTTCAATTCTAAATTGATCAAGAATGAACAATAAAGCCATATTGACTTGTTTGAGCTGCCTGACCACCACCATGAAGAAAACATACTAACACTTGGAGGGGACTCCCAGATCGGGTGACTAACAACATGAAACGGTATTACTCTGGGTGCAGAGAAAAAGCTACAGGTGAAGTAGAGCACCCTTCTAAAAATAACCTCTGTGTCCTTTACTCTGCCAAGCATTCTTCCTTAAAATAATGAATCCTCAAAGCTCAACAAGCTAATTATATCACCACTAATAAATCCAAAACCCTATCTAAAGTTCAGGATAGAGTGAGAAAGGGTTAAGACCTTTGTATAGGTTTTAATATGGTCTCTCACTGGGGTGATTCATCCCTCTATCTGTCTTGAGTTATCATAGTCACTGGGGAAAAAAAAGTGGTAGGAATTCTAAAAAATGTTACCTAAACAGGAGGGAAGGACTAATCTTCCAATCGGGCATTGGTGGAAACTACCACCATAGCAACCCACTATGCTGCTATGGGGCCCGGGGCTGAGGAAGGTCTGGTCAGGACCAGGAGAGGTGTTTTTCCTCTTGCTGCCTGCCCTGATCTATTGCCACCTCCCACCATCAGCCTACAAGCTGTGTAGGGGACAGAATCATCTTCCCTCGAGGCAGCAGCACAAACACTGCAAGCAGTAGTAGGTGCAGCTGCTATGGGGAGATGCCACTGTAGACCTCTGAGAGCTTAGGAAGGCCAGTAGGATGAAAGCTGAGAAAGCTACTGTAACAAAACATGTGGAAGCTTAGGTATGTGAGTGTGCGGGCATGGGGGTGGTGTGTTAGACTGTGTGTGTGTTTCATCTGTGTTAGTGTGTATATAATGTCACTGGTGAAAACTCATTCCTCCTACTACCACCAATGCAAGGGGACATTCTTCCCCCAACTGGCCACCAAAGTAAAGGGGTATTCTTCCTTCTACTGACAATGTAATGGGGCATTCTTCCTCCTACTGACCCCAACATAAAGAGTGATTCTCCCTTCTACTGACCCCCAATGTTAAGGGGCATTCTTCCTCCTACTAACCACCAATACAAGGGAGCATTCTTCCTCCTACTGACCACCAATAGATGCAAGGAGGCCGTCTTCCTCAACTTGACTATCAATTCAAGGAAGAATTTTTATCCTATGGCAACCATGCAAGGGGGCTTTAAAAACAATTTTTTTGGTAAATATGCTGTAGCTCATGCCCTATACCACATGACTGTGGCAGATAGAATGTAGTTCAAAGGCATTTTTTGCTTCCCTTCTGCTTGGCGAATGGGCCCTTTAAAAGGCCTAGACCATTCCCAACTGAAACATCATTTGCAATTGCCCTCTAGTCCATTTACAAGGTCCTCCTGCTGGTTTCCATACCATGATGTGCCACTCCCAAAGAGAGTGAGGAAGCCAGGTTTTTTAGTAGTCTTTCTGCAAAGATTTGACACACCCCCTGCTGAGTTAGCTAGAGCTCTCCAATCACAGGGAGCATGAGATTTGCTTATTGGAAAGCTCTGACTCAGTAGGGGGTGTGTCAGACCTCTGCAGAGAGACCACTGCTTCCGCACAGACAGCAAGGGTCCTTCTCTGCAACATTCTGACAGGGGACAGCCTCTTCTACCCAGGCTGTGGCTGCTTTGTAAAGAAGATGAACTGAATATTAATCTGAAATAACAAAAAAAAAAATGTTTTTAACATGCGATTGAACGCACTGTGTATGTAACATGAACACACACCATAGCTCATTATCGCACAACGATGTACCTGAAATTTATTTCGCTGATTTAAACTAAACGTTTGGCCATTAAAACAAACAGTAAGGTGCAGTGCCTTTTTTCTTAATCCTTACACTGGGGATACCCCCGCACTGCAAGGGTTAGGTGCTCGTTTTGGTCTAGGAAGGAAAAAAACAAAGTTATATGTGATCCCCTGAGCCGGCTTGCTCTTAGACCGCTCCCTACAGCCTCTTTCCCCCTCCGCTCCAGTGGTCTTAGGTCTGTGAATCATCACGTCCAATACACTGTGTATAACAAGGAGACAGGCTGGAGGGAGTGCTGTCACAGCCTGCTGTCTCTGAGGATCAGGTGAGTATATCTTTGTTATCTTCCTTCCTAGACCAAAATGCGCACTTAACCCTTGTAGTGCGGGGGTAGCCCCTCTGCAAAAGTTAAGGAGTTCTGCCTTTAAGCTGATCTCTTATTCATGTATACTCAGAAACACAGAAAAGTACATACATTCCCTATAAGAAATTATCTTTCTCATGTCTGAGCATTTTGCCTGTGCTAAAGAATGCAGCACAATGCTTGTTAACTCTACTTGTAAGGACAAGGACTAACAGAGAGATAACAAAAAAGACTGCCTAACACTTTTCAGTTACTGAGAAATAACTGTCTAAAAACAGATGCTCGGCATATACAACATGTCATAAACACATGGACAATAATGGAGTGGAGAAATGATCATAAAGGGAAGAGCTATTTATAGACCGTCCAGATTTGGATACACCCAGACAAACAAAACAGAGTCTGCTAATATGTAATTGGCCGCAAATGTTAACATAAACACGTTCAAAAGCAATATCGTGGTCATTAACATTCCTGAACCCTGCCTTTACATGCTCGCTCCGTGTTACCTTTGCGTACTGGAAAGTGATTTGTCATGTCACCTTTTATCTTGACACTCCTACCAACAGAACAAATTATTGTATCCCAAGAACGACACACGCAGTGCGGGTTATGTACAAACATCATGCAACTTTGTATTTACCCAGGGCAACTAATCACATCTCAATATTCACTTAGAGATCAGATAGTCAAGTAGACTGATTGTGAACATGTCTCTCATGGGCACTAGAACCGAATCTGATTGGCAGCCAGAAGAAGCCACGCAGGAGAACGTCACTTTGCCTTTTACACAAAATGCTTATTTGTTTATAGGCAGATTGACATTAACTTAAACAGTATCTATGGTCAAATACTAAAAATAAATATATATTTCTGTATCGAATTTCCATAAGTTCTATCCCACATCCTAATAACTAGGAATGCACCGATACCGCTTTTTCAGTATCGAATATGAGTACCGATACCGAATACTGATACCAGCTGGCATGGGCAGCAGGAGGTTGTAATCTAAGCAGCTGAAGCTGGGTATAAACGATTAGAATTTAGTTCAGAAAAAAAATTGTTTTTGAAATGTTCATAACAATTAATGGGGTCAGATTCAAGTGATGAAGAACATCGAAGGGCCAGAATGGAATTTTTTTCTTGAACAAATCAAATTCTAATATAAAGGTGGGTCTGGAAACTCCATTTATTTCCAAAACAGAATGCTGAAATCAAATGACATTTTGAAGGGCATTCTTAAAGTCCTTGATGGCATTATTGAATGTTCTGATTAGATTTTTTTTATAAGCACTAGTACGAAAACCTACCAGTTTAGGTCCTACCATCTATCTTGTGAGAAGGTGAACTAACCCTTTAAGGTGAGAGAAGCTACCTCCAAGCCTGTTCTCAATTTACACATATATATATAT